ACTTCACAATTCTCAATATATTACATCCCTTTACCCTTAGTAAACACAACACATCTCTCAATAGAACAAATGATAGTATTCCAAAATCACCAATTATATTGTAACATGAACATTACATGATTTAAATCATTTGGTAGATTACATCCTTACAAACAATGCACAATATGTTACAACATAATTAAAATACAAAACAATGATGTCAAAGTCCTTTTGACCTTTAAAATCATAGGTCTAACTTATTTGGGACTTTGATTGTCCTGCTTGACCTTCTCAGTGGCTTTTGATTTGGTGACTCAAGATTCTGACCATCTGGATTCTCTATCTCAGGAGGTCTAGGATCTAAATCATTAATTCCAGAATTTACATTTTCTGACTCTAGACCACTTGGTTCACTCATATCAACAGAACTTGGTTGTGGAACAAACTGAGTTGGTGTGAACTGTTCAGATTTGGTGGGATTGACAGATTCACACTTATTATCTGCACAAGTTATTTTTACCTGGTCTGCGTGTCTACGGACAATAAGTCCATCATTTGTTTTTACTTTATAAGACACAGTTCCTGTACATTGAACAATTTGACCTGGCATCCATTTTTCCCCTTTCCCATAATTTCTCAGATACACATCATCATTTACTCCAAATTCTCTTTCAATGGATGTTTTGTCATGATTTAATGGAACTATTTTTGAATTGGCATCTGAAAGTATTATGCTATTATTCAGATCCTTAACTGACATAGATTTCTTTGATTGATCAATTTTCTCAGATAATCTGATAGTGCTTTTTGGTAACCAAAAATACTGTTTAAAAGTACTATCCTGGACCATATCAATTTGCAACTGTGATCCAGTATTTGAAGTGGGTGTATTAAATGGCAAAAATCTTTTTTTTCTTTTGATGTTACCCTTTTAGTTTCTGTAAGTGCTAATGATGTTAGCAAAGTTGTTTGATGATCACATTCCTTCTTACTAATGTATTCTCTTTAAAAGCATTTGAAATTGCCATATCACCATAATCATTTATTAAGTTACAAATAATTTGTTTAGGCAACTCTGACTGATAATGGACTGCATGTTCTCCATCTTTTAGACTTAATTCCATTTTTCTTTTTTTATATGGCCTTAAATCATCATTCACTGACTCTTCAGGCCAACCATTCTTACAGTACTCATATACTTTTATTAAGCACTCATCTTTTTGTGTTTCTCTCTTAACATCATTCACATTTATATTGGAGTTATCCATGATAGTGAAAAGAACAAATACATTCTCTGGTACATAACTAAGGCTTTGGTTTTTTAAAGGTAAATGACTAAGACTATCTGCACTATTCTCAGATCCAGGTTTGTATTTCAATTCATAATTGTATACGGCTAGTGTGATAGCCCAACTTTGAATCCTTGGTGCGGCATGCTCTGGCAGGGGTTTGTTTTCCCCAAACAAAGCTAGCAATGGTTTATGATCTGTAAAGATGGTGAACTCCCTACCAAATAGAAACTTGTGAAATTTCTTAACACCAAAAATGATGCCTAAGCCTTCCCTATCTAACTGAGAATAATTTTTCTCAGCCTGGTTCAAAGATCTACTGGCAAAAGCAATGGGTCTGTCACCATTTTCATCTATGTGGGATAAGACTGCTCCTACACCATCTGGTGAAGCATCACATGTTAAGATAAGTCTTTTCCCTGGGTCATAGTGAGTTAGTAAGGTGTCAGAAGACAAAGCTTCTTTTGCTGCATTAAAAGCAGCATCTTGTTGTTTACCCCAGTGCCAAGTTGCATTTTTCTGCAGCAGCTTGTACAGTGGTGATAGTTTACCAGACAGATTCCCTATGAACTTCGCATAGTAATTTATCAAGCCCAAAAAAGCTCTTAGTTGTTGGGTATTTTCAGGTTTGGGTGCTTCTTTAATGGCTTTTGTTTTTTCAGGTTGAGGTCTGATGCCTTGCTTGCTTAAAATATAACCAAGAAAACTAATATCTGTCAGCATGAATTGACGTTTATCTTTGTTTATCTTTAAACCCTTTTCACCAACTATTTTCAAGACTTTATCAAGTGTTTTAAGATGTTCAGTGTCATTCTTACCAGTTATGTACACATTGTCAAAGTAAACACAAACATTTGGAATATCCTTAAAAATACTGTCCATGACAGCTTGGAAAATTCCAGGGCTAGATGATATACCAAAACATAGTCTTTCATATTGGTAGAGTCCTTTATGTGTGTTTATTGTCGTATAGACTTTTGAATCTGGATGCAGTTCTAGTTGAGTGTAAGCATGACTAAAGTCTAATGCAGTGAATTTGTCCCCTCCTAGTAATGGTGGTCCATTTCCTTCAACCACAAAAAGAGGAAGTTTAACACTTTGACCATTATAGCTTACATGAACCATACACTCTCCTATCACTGGAACATTGTCACCTGTGTATGTTGTTAGGCACTTGTGACATGGTTGTAGAGGTACTGATCCTCCTGTGACAGCGTCAAAGTCTTTCTTTGCGATGACGGATAGAGATGCTCCAGTGTCAAGTTGGAAGATGATGCTCTTACCGTTGATATAAACTGGTAAATTGATGGGAGCATGACTTATTGATTTCACAGAGAACAGGTTGAAATCCGGCTGCGAATCAGTTTGAGCATTTTCACTGGTAGAGTGGTTCATTGGTTGGGTTAGGTAGTCTTGGTGAGAGTTAACATAGTGCTGCCTTTGGTTGCGGTACTGTCTTGACTGGCTAGATTTAGCAACAGACGAAGACTTTGCAAAGCAGGCCTTGGCAATGTGACCTTGCTTACTGCACTTATAACAAGTTGCTGACTTGAACTTGCATTGATGAGATGCATGGGGACCGTTGCATCGATGACATTTTTGATAATTATTACTAGATTTAGATCTAAGATTTGAACGTGCATGCTGTTTAGCATAAGTTGAAATGCTCTGATGGGGTTGGTGTTTATTGACTAACCTGCTGTCTACTGCATGGATCCCTGAAGGTGCTAGAGATCTCGCCGCCTCAGATGACTGCTGGAATGAAGTTGCAAGTTATATTGCCAATGTGAGATCTGACTCGAGAAGCAACTTTCTTTGAACATCAGGGCTGTTTACACCTGTTATAAACTTTTCACATAGTCTGTCAGACAGCGTGTCTCCGAATTCACAAAATTCACTTAGATGACGTAAAGCAGCAACATATTCTGATATTGATTCGTTTGGTTGACGAGTCCTACCGTCAAATCTGGCTCTACACAGGAACTTTGATGGCGCGGGCGCATGGTGGTCTGTTAGCAGTTTGCTCAGCTCGTTAAAGCTCTTGGTAGCTGGACTAGCTGGTGCGCATAAGTCCTTTAATAGCCTAAATTGTTGAGGCCCTATGACTGTTAACAAAACAGCTGTCTTTTTGGCTTCTATCGTCACCTCGTTAGCTTCAAGGTAAAAGCTTAACCTATCTAGATAATCATGAATGGTTTCATCATTTGAATCAAATTCTTTTATTTGGCCATACAGCGCCATTATCCTAGAAATACTTAGCCAATATGCTCTAGCAAACTTCTTTTTAAGTAAGCAGGTGCTCTTTCTAGTGGATTGATCCCATCCTCGTCGCCAATTGAGGTAGATTGAAACACTGACAATAGAAACCATGCTGTTTGTATATAGAACTTTATTGGGCCTCAGCCACCATGATGGAAACGGGAACAGGAAGTACGAGACAATAATACAAGGGCATCACTCAAAAACACATTATAAATATAATACTAATACAAGAAGAGTGAGTTCCCTTGACTTCACAATTCTTAATATATTACAATTTCAGTTTGGACTACCTATTTAAAATGTGATTATTAAAGTTGCCTATCTGAACTTGGCGGGACACAGGGCTGGTGAAGTAGAGTTCACCTGTTTCTTTATCCTCAGCATATGAAGGGATAATGTGGTCACAGACTTGCTCGGCCGGAATGGTTTTTTTTAACGATAAAAACATGTTGTCTGAAACTTGGCGAGACACTAGGCAGGTGAAATTGAGTTGAGTAGGTCACCTGTGATGTCAGTATATGAAGGGATAGTGTGGTCAGACTTATGCTGAGCCGAAACCGGTGTTTTTAAAAGATAAAAAAAAAACCGTCTTTTTGAGGTCTGGTTATTTTGTGTGACAGACGTGATGTCGTATATGGATGACCCCCGAAACCCACAGTTATCTAACTAGATAACGGGTAGTCTAGTAAAGTACTAATATTCCGAACTTTTATACATATATTGTTTGCCGTTCAATTGTTGCGCAATTATTTTTTTTTCTACGAGATTCTATTCTATTTTTTTAAGTTAAAGTAATTGAAAAGGCATTAAATTCATGACTTTCTCGCTCATGTTTTTTTTAAAAGAAACACGAAAATTTAAGGTTGCGGAAGAATTGCGACAACGATCTAAATCTAGATCTAGATTAGTAAAATACAATAGATCTACTAATGACGTAAGTAGGACTAAATCAGTGTTTCTTCCAGACTTTTTTCTCCGGGGGGGGGGGGGGGGCACTTGAAATTTTCGGGGGGGGGGGGGGGGGCGGGGGCGGTAAACTGTTAAAAGTATATATTTTCTATATAAATTATATAGCCCCCCCCCCCCGAAGAGATGCCTGAAAGAAACTCTGGACTAAATCTTGATCTAGCTAGATCTATTAAAATAAAATTAAAATAGATCTAGATCTAGAAAAGTAGTAAGAAGGACTAGATCTACTATCTAGAACTCTAGACTCTAGAACAATGTTTAGACTGTTTAGACTTAGTAGCAGCAATAATTAGCTCATACACTTAAAATAATTAGAAATACACAATTTTTAGCAAAACAATTTAAAATGCAACTAAAATCAATCTATGCACATTTTAAAATATTAATAATATTATGTGTATAGCGTCAAATTAAATATGGTTTACAGTACTTCCGGTAGTTTTCGGAAAGGCGCGACTGACTCAGCTATACTGTTTTTTTTTACTGCTAGGGCCTATACGATTCCGGAATAATAGTATAATAATAATAATATGGTGAGATTACCTTAATCTAGATCCAGGTAGGGTCTATATTAAATTATTAATAATTATAATATTAATGCATGGTAATCTATCGCTTTAGGTACGTTAACTAAAATCTGCAGAGGATAGATATTAACTAATAGATCTATATTAATTTTTTTATATTTAGAACTAGATCTAGAGGTAATCTATCGTTTTGGGTACGTAAAATCGCCCGCGTCTAGTAATGTGAAAAACAGGTGACTCCTTACATTTTAATAATTATTTCATATTTTGAGGAGGATTTATGTTTTGAAAAATACAAAAATGTTTCCTTGTTTCATTTATGTACCTGTTTTTAAACAATTGAATTAAAACTTTTCAGTAATAAATGAACACCAGCGATGTTTCCAACAGATGCAACCATGCTCATTTACTATACTACTATAGCAGCCATCTTGTTAAATTTTTATTTTTATAGACTTATAGTGCAAGATTCAGGCGGAAGTCACTCGATTTTACAAATGGCTGCTGTTTATATAGCAAATCTTGCTTGCAGACACTAATGTTTAAAGTTAATTTCTGGCCTATATCGATATATTTAGCCATTGATTTAGGTTCATTATTCATTTATCTATAATATTTGACACAAACATATCACAATATACTTCTATTACAGCCTTGACAATGAGGTAACGTTTTCGTACATTAATAGCCACGGGCAATTTTACGTACCCAAAACGATAGATTACCGAACTAGATCTACTACTAATCTAGGCCTAAATTATTAAAAATATTAGGCCCTATAGGTCAAGCAAGGCTATTCCCAGCTGTTTGGGAATAGCCCTAGATCTAATGGAGACAAGCGAGTTGACGAGATTCCTTCCTTAGTGTTGTTGACATGGAATAAAAACGTGCTTTTTAGATTTAGACCGTAAAAAAAAATAAAAACTTAAGCCTAAAATTAATTTAGAAATTTTATATTTTTAGAATAAATGCTATAAAAGTTGCAAATCCAGAGAACTTGAAAATAATTTGTTGAGTTTAAGGCTACATTTCTATTTATTTTCATCAAGCCTAAGTTATAACCGGATGTTTCACTTTCGTAAGACAAATATCGATTGGCTGTACAGTAACTTAGTGATCGATAACTATTTGTTTACAAAACTTTGCAGATCAAGTTTTTAAATAACAATGCAAATTTAAAACCCCATGACCTAGTTTTCTATTTTTAGCTTACAATGTGTACAATAAAATTCATGTTGGCCTATCCAATAGCAAGATGCCATTGTTTATGTCGCCATTACACGTGAAAACCAAATTGTTTTTGCTTTTTTTTTAATTTTTATTTAGTAACCGAAAATATTAAAAACATCAAATACGTCCAATCTTTAGTAAAGTCCGAAAAAAACCAGACAGACAGGATTTTATAACCATATTAATTGTAACTACGCCGTGCAAGATTTTAAAATTAATTTATGCACCTCTCAAATACCTTTGAGACTTTTCTCGCTTGTGTCCATTAGATTCTAATCCCAGCCGACTGTGAATAGCCCCAATACGGCTATTCACAGTCGGCTGTCATTTCATGCTAAATAGGACTGTGAATAATATCTAAATAATAAAAGCATTTTTTGTGACTGTGGAATGAGGTATAGATTAAGAGAGCAGTGCTTTTTTATTTTGTTATATTTTTTATAGTTATTTCGGCTAAATTAGTAAATTAGTAGGCCCTAACTGTTAAAGTTTAGCTTTTTTTTAGGCTCATATTATCAGACATATCTGCTACAGGTTACGTCTACGTAGGTCATAGAGGAATTTTTAAATAAATAATAGGGCCTACTAATAGTAATTAGGGCCTAAGCATGAGTTTAGTTGGTTGTTCACATTGCTATTCGACTATTAATTACCATTAAAATTCACATTATCACATAGAATAAATATCAGGTGAAATAGGATGTCCTTTTTCATCAACTATAATCATAATAATGGACACCAGCGAGACAAGTCTCAAATGTATTTGAGAGGTGCATAAATTAATTTTAAAATCTTGCACGGCGTAGTTACAATTAAAATGGTTATAAAATCCTGTCTTTCTGGTTTTTTTTCGGACTTTACTAAAGATTGGATGTATTTTATGTTTTTAATATTTTCGGTAACTAAATAAAAATTAAAAAAAAAAGCAAAAACAATTTGGTTTTCACATGTAATGGCGACATAAATAATGGCCGCCATAAATTTTATTGTACACATTGTAAGCTAAAAATTGAAAAATAGGTCATGGTGTTTAAATTTGCATAGTTATTTAAAAACTTGATCTGCAAAGTTTTGTAAACAAAATAACTATGATGTGGGGCTGTCAGAAATCGATCACGGAGTTCCTTTACAGCCAATCAATGTTTGTCTAACGAAAGTGAAACATCGGGTTATAACTTAGGCTTGATGAAAATAAATAGAAATGTAGCCTTAAACTCAACAAATTATTTTCAAGTTCTCTGGATCTGCAACTTGTATAGCATTTATTCTAAAAATATTAAATTTCTGAATTAATTTTAGGCTTAAGTTTTTAATAAAATTTTATCATTTAATATTTTTATGGTCCTAAATCTAAAAAAGCACATTTTTATTCCATGTCAACAACATTACGGAAGGAATCTCGTCAACTTGCTGGTGTCCATTCACAGCTACCATCACACTTTTGTGTTTTTTCTCTTAGCAAAAATCTACGGGACAGGTTTTTTTTTTTGCTGATATGCCAACAATTACATCACAAAAAAAAAAAAAAAATTAACAAAAATAACCCTTCCATGAGTAACTCAAGTAACTGGGACAACATATTTTGATAATAAGATTAAGAGTCATAGCAATAAGGCATCTGATAGATTTGAACCAGCATTTGAGCCACTCCCCATGACCACTCAACCACACATCTTCATGCCCAATTGGGTATTTTTAACATTAAGTTTAAAAAAAAACGGTCACGACTGTGAATAGACACTTTGATTATTATAAATAATTAAATAGTAATGTGAAAAAGCTGACTTATTAAATTTAAGGGTGAACTATAGTTTTAGTTTAGGTAATTGTAGTAGATTTAAGTAAAATCGTCAGAGACTAGTATATTTCTATATATATATATTTAGGCCTATATATATATATATATATATATATATATATATATATATTTAGGCCTATATATATATATATATATATATATATAAATATATATATATATATATATATATATATATATATATATATATATATATATATATATATATATATATATATATATATATATATATATATATATATATATATATATATATATATATATATATATATATATATATATATTTAGGCCTATATATATATATATATATATATATATATATATTTAGGCCTATATATATATATATATATATATGTATATATATATATATATATATATATATATATATATATATATATATATATATATATATATATATAATATACATATATATCTATCATAATATATGCAAACAATTTAGTCGGTCAACAGAATATAAACGTGAAAGCTTTGTATGTGTAATGGTTTCTCATGTTATGTTTATTTTATGTTTTTTTTTTGTATTTATAATATTAATTTTAAATACATTTCCTTTTTATACTATGTCATTCTTTAGTATGTATTTTTAAAAAAAAATAATAATTAAGAGAAGTAATTGCTTTTTAATTTGTGTTTAGAGTACAATTCTATTGAAAGGAGCTTATGAGCACCCCTATTTAATTATTTTAAAAAGGGAAATAAGTCATGGAACTGTTTTGAACGTTAGCCTATCTAAATCTTTCACACTACAGCTTATGGTTTAAAACAAATGGAAAAATAATATACAAGAGCGTGTGATGGTGTCTATAGAATAAATAAAAATCCAACCGCAGCTGTAGTACTCTTTTTACAAAAAATCCATCAAGTCAAAATGCAAGAGAATTATTTTTTTAACTATAAAAAATTGATTATGGTCGGCTGTGGGCCCCTAAATGACGTGAGCCCTCCGCATCGCTGGGTCTGGCGGCACTGTAGTTCCACCCCTGTGTTTAAAGTTAATTTCTGGCCTATTAATACAAAGTTTCGCTGTCTGTGTATGTATCTGTGTATCAATCTGACAAGAACGCTATAGAGAAATTACAAGCAAAATAAAAACTTTCAGAGTAATACGGAAACGAAATATGACGTCACATTTAGCATATAGTAAAAATAATCTCAAGCCGGAGAGTGCACACAGTAATATGACGTCATTGATTCTCAAGTAAACATTGAATCAAAAAGCCAATTTTGTCTAATCTTAATAGTGGTTTGCGTGAAGAGTTTCTTTCATAAAATTCTTCGGATAGGGGCGAAGCCCATCCCCCGCGTAAGAACGTCTAAGCCGGCCCCTCCCCCCCCCCAACTCAAAAACAATGTCGTCATCGATACTCTATAATAAAGCCTAATTCATGTGTCTAATCTAAAAAGTGGTTTGCGTGCAGAGTTTCTTTCATTCAATTCTTCGGGTAATGGCTAAGCGCGACACCAGTGTTTCTTTCAGACTTCTTCCTTCCCGGAGGGGGGAACTTTTTCTAATCTAAAAAGTGTTTAGCGTGCACAATTTTTTTCATGCATCTCTTCCGGTAGGGGCGAAGCCCCGCCCAGGTTCTTCCTTCAGTTTGTATGATCTACAAATGCGACCAGCGTTTCTTTCAGACTTTTTCCTCCCCAGCGAGGGGTGGGGGTACTTGAATTTTTTGGGGGGCGGGGGTAGAATTTTTGGGAGGGGGCGGACACTGGAATTCAAAAAGTATATAATTATATTTCATTGAATGGGACGGTAGACATGTTTTGGGGTGTGTGTGGGGGGGGGGGGGGGCGGGGCCCCCTACTCCCAAGTAGAGTTGCCTGAAAGAAACTCTAAATGCAACTTTTGTCATGAATGAGATTAGGTGCATGGTTTAGGGATATGCCTATGACTATATTTTGTTTAAAGTACCGATTCTGGATAAAAATCCGTTTTCAATATCATTTCTCGTTTCCGGTTAAATTAAATTGAGGTGGTGATTTTGTTTTGGTTTTAGTTTAGAGAAAATAGACAGCACTATCAACCTAGCGCCCATTGTATCCTTAACAGGCCATTTTCTTCGTATTGATATATTTAGCCTTTGATTTTGGTTTATTATTTAGTTATCTATAATATTTGACAAAAATATATCACTATGTACTTCTATTAAAGCCTTAACAATGTGGCAACTTTTACGTACCTAAAAGTTGATAGAATACCAATTTAAGTAATTATTTCACATTTTTACATTTTGAAAGTTACAAAAATCACATCAAAAATGTTATAAAATTTTATTCAATGATTCATGTAGGCCATTGTAGGCCTACCTGTTTTTAAACAATTGTATTAAAACTTTACAGTAGGCGAATAAATAAAGATTAGTGACATTTCCATCAGATTCAACCAAGCTCAAGATTTTTTGTTTTTGGTAACATTAATCAAATAAAAAATTCCAGATTCAGGGGTAACCACTTTAATTTACAGTTGGCCCTTGTGTATTTAACTAATGGATCTAGATCTATATAGCAAATCTTGCTCGCAAATACTTCTGTTTAAAGTTAATTTCTGGCCTATATCAGCCTATTGATATATTTAGATGTAAAACCTTAGTTTAGCGTCCTAAATTCGGCCAAAACTAGTAATGTGGGGGAGAGGGGATTGCCTAATGAATATGTCTGTAAATATGAGTATATTTTCGTATATTTAATATTTTAATAAAATATTTTATATAGCTCTAGGCCTAATTGAATAATAGATCACCATCCCCCAATGTAAAGGATGTCTGATGTCAAACTCTTGGGTTTGAGGTGATAAGTACAGATTATCATGGGAAGTTAGGATTAGAAATTGTATTTTTTATTTTTTATATCTTTATTTTGTAATTTATAATAAGAAAGGAAATACAAAACAGTCATGAGCTCAGTGGAAAAATCAGCTGATGTGGCAGATCAACAGGATGTCAAGCAATCCTGGCGCACTAGTGTTGACTCTAAAGGGGCTTTTGTCCGGAAGGAGTCTCAGTTCAGACATTGGATCACTGGTAATCTATTTCTTTCTTTTTGATGTGTGATCCATATATAAATTAATTGGCAGCACACTAAGTAGACATGATTTATAAACATCTGAGAAAATATTTGGGTTGAATTTGGAAAATTGGTCTTCTACTAATTTAACTTAATAATAATTCAGTTTTTGAAAAAAAGGATCATTCAGGATTTTTTAAATCTAAATATTAAGAAAAAAAAACCCAATTATTTTGTTACTAATAGGAATAGGCCAACAAGTACTATAATTTAATAGTTGAATTTGTTTTTTTATTCCTTTAAAATCTATGGAGCCTTTTTTTAGGAGAGCTACTTTAATACTGATTTCAATGGTCAAAACCATTTAGGAATAGTATAAATAGTTTCTGATGAGAGCAGTCTATAATGTTAACTATCCAAAATGTGATTCAGTGAACTTCTGTTTTTACAGTCTGGTATCTTTATTATAAATGTATAGTTGTAGAACTTTTAGATGACAATTTAAATAATTTTAAGCTAGATGTAAAAAATAATAAATGTCCTCAACAAATGCATAAATTACATGAATACATGATTATAAAAAAATTAAAATAATAAACTTGATATTTTATTCTCCCTCCTCTGTATTAAGCTTCAGCTAAAAAAAAATCTCAAGGTGCAATGCTACTCATGTAAATATACATATAATAAAAAGGAAGTCAATATAAACACACACACACATACATATATATATATATATATATATATATATATATATATATATATATATATATATATATATATATATGTTACGGTCAAAGCCCGTGCGCAATGTGCGCATTGGCTGGCTCTCTTGGCCAAAGCCCGAAAAGCTTAGCACTGAGAGAGTATTTCCTACATTAGCTGGCCAATGCGCACACTGGCTGGGACGTGATGGCCAAAGTCCAAAAAGTTTACAATTGACAAAGTAATTCATACATTGGCCAGCCAATGCACGCACTGGCCGGGATGTCTTATCTAGACTAAGTTGTCATCGCGTTTTCATTATTCTGAGTGACAGACATACCAGATGGCTGCCAAAATAAATAATCCAAATCCTAATGAAAGAGAATTTGTGAATCAAGTTATTTCTGAACTAAAGAACATGTGGACTGAACTTAAACTAGTTCACAGAAATCCAAGGCATAGCCAAAGCCAAGGTATAGTAGAACGTGCCAACCAAGATGTTCAAAACATGATGATGACATGGATACAGACAAATCAATCAGCTCATTGGGCTGAGAGTCTCAAATTTATTCAATTTTATGAAAAACTTGACAATAATATGTATAGCTTGTGAAAGATATTGTAGTGCAGCCCATTCTTGTGGATCCTGTGGCAACGATATCCATGCAATTTGCGGAGTAGCCAATGAAGAAGACGAAGGGTATGGAGGGAACATTACTTGCAGATTATGTCACAATAAACAAGAAATCACGGACAACAGGTCAGCATTTCATACTAGCTTACAAACTCAAGGTGCCAAGACGCTAAAAAAATCAGATAAAATTTTTAAACAAACTGAAGTGGGAGATAATGTTCGCATCCGTATACCAGATGTTGACAGAGGTCGCGGTGATCCCCAAAGCGTCATTGTAGTAGCCATGAGCGTCGAGGTGTTCTAAAACAACTGTACGCTAGAAGTGAGTTTTCAATTCTTCACAAAAAACTGCTCTCATTGTCGCCCTTTGGCACTAAGGAAAAATCACTACGAACCATCGCATCTTCACAATCACTGACCGGTGGCCAAGGCTACTTTTGCTGCAATTGCACAAGCTAATGCACAACAAATCGCTGCTAGTGTAAAAATAACAAGCTACTATATAAATCTAAATGCCATAAAAGTTCAACTTGTTGTAACAAGTGATAATATTGATTGAGACTATAGTACAATAATATAATTTGAATTTTTCTTTCATTTACTTTAATTAATAAATAATAAAGACTTAATTTCATGATACTTACGGTATAAAAAAGGCTAAATCTGCTCATGATCTTCTAATTCGAACATTGGCCGGTCGTCCCATACCAGATGATCTTCTAATTAGAATTTTGGCCAGTCCAAAGGCCGAAATCAAGAGCCATTTCAGACTTTGGCCAGTCCGCGGATTGGCCGGCCAAAGGCCAAAATCAAGTTAAGTTTCGGACTTTGACCGGTCAATGGGAGGCAATATTGGCCAATGCGCGCATTGGCCGGCCAATGCATGCTTTGGCCAACTTCTGGCTTTGACCGTAACATATATATATATATATATATATATATATATATATATATATATATATATATATATATATATATATATATATATATATATATAGGCTATGTATACTAGCCATCAATACCAGTGTTTCTTCCAGGCATCTCTTTGGGGGAGTCTACAGCCCCCCACCCCCCAAAAAATGGAAGTTAAATAGAAAATATATACTTTTAACAGTGTTTGCCTCCCCCCCAGAAATTCTGTAACTGTACCCATTACGCCCAACTTATAGGCCTATATATTTTTAATGTTATACTTGTTTTAGAAAAATAATTTATAACATAATTTATAAAATAATTACTAGTCAAAATGCAATGTGCTTTACCATGCCTTGAACAATAATAGTGTCTAAGCAAGGAATTAGCAAAAAATCTGAATCTCACACGTTTAAAATAATGTAGGCTACCAATACCTATTTGAAAAATTAAAACCAAATATATACATTATATGCACACACTGATTATGAGACCTAAATGATTCTGTTGAAAACCCGGCTGTTAAATGATATTTATGTAGTTTTTAAAGTAATTTTTATTAGTTTTGGCACAGTTATTAGTTTTTATAGCATACTTCTTCATAAGTAGATCTATAGATCTAAATCAAATTAGAGTGAAATAGTTTATTTCTTTATATTTTAAAATTGACAGATGTGGGAAGTGAATCTTATTGAAGATAATGTCATTAGTTTTGTGTGTCATTTACGACATTCAATGTTTAATTCTATTTTTATACTACATTCAATGACGCCAATAGTGTTGTGTACTTTCCATAGTTGTGACATGTGACAACGTTTTTCTGTTACTTGTATCTTCTCTAGAGCATTTTTGTCACCACCATTAACACTTTTCTGGTTGCTTAAAATGTTTCTACATATGAATATACCTTTATTTTTTTTCTTCCTTAAATAAAATTTAATAATACATATACTACATCCAACATATTATTTTCAACAAAAGTCTGTATCTTTAAGTTCTCCATATATCGCTGAAGATCCTGATCTCAAAGTCTAGGAAAATATGTATGTTGCAGATAGAGAGAGATAGAGTGCAGAGTTTAAATCACAACATATCATTTAATTACAACAATCAATTGAAAGGGTTTGGAAGCAGGCATTGTGCCAGAAATAGCAATATTAGAAATACGCTACAGTGCAATTTCCACTCCTTAACTAGACATAGTTATAGATAATAAAATGATTCCTGCACAGTAAAGACAAAGCCATTTAGCCAGATGGCATTCAAGGCCACCATATCTAGGCAGAATTGCCTCACCAGAAAGCACCAAGATGAGGTAGCTTCACCAAAATAAAAGCCTTATTAAATTACAGCTGATGGCTCTTCAGGGTTTCAAGCAGAAGCTAATCGTTACCACCTGTATGTATCACTGGCCTGTCCATGGGCACACAGGACACTGATACTGAGAGCACTGAAGGGACTAGAGGATAACATTTCTGTCACTGTGGTTGACTGGCTCCTAGGTCCAAACGGCTGGGCCTTTACTGACAAGGTCAGGTACATTCATGTCTTTGCTTATTTTTTTTTTTTTATTTATTTTACTTCAACATTTTAAAGTAGAATTATAAATATAATATTTGTCATTTCTATCATTCCTAACTACCACACCAGTAGCGCAGCATTACAGTAAAGGTTATTAATGGTTCAGGTTTGATCTGTATCCTTATATTAAATAAATAATACCACAGCTTTAGGGTTTTAAATTAGACTTTGTATGATTTCTTTCAGTAAGGAAAATATTGAAGTTTATCTCAGTAATCAACTTTTTACAAGATGAAATTAAATAAGTTAAATAGTTATTTTCTATTGTTCATTATTTTTTACAACCTACATTATTTGCAACAGAAGCCGAAGTGTAGTTTAGACACTGTGAACAACTGTAATTTTCTGAGAGAGGTGTATGCAAAAAGTGATCCTTGTAAGTTGATTTTCTTTTACTAAAAGTTTTAGGAACATTTGTCCTCAAACACTCAACATATTTGAAAAGATAGATAGAATCATACCCCATCAGCTGCTAAAGTTTGTTTACTTTGATTGTGTAAGTGTTGAGATAGAGCTTTGTTTCTGAAAGGGAAATGTTTGTATTTGCCCCAGCTTACAGTGGTAACATCACTGTGCCGTGTTTGTGGGACAAGTTAACAAACAAGGTAGTGAACAATGAATCAAGTGAAATCATCCGCATGTTGAACTCTGAGTTCCAGGCTTTCTGTAAAACACCGGAACAACTGGAGCTGAACTTGTATCCAGAACACTTGAAGGAGAAGATTGATGGGCTAAATGCTTGGATTTATCCGTAAGTTTTTTTTTTTTATATATTTATTTTCCTCCAATAAATATAATTTAAACTAATAGAATATTTATAGAATATTGACTTTGGTTATGTTAAATGCAAATTATTTAGCATCTGTAAGTCGTTAATTTTCTTTTTTAGCCAAAAAAGTTTTTCTGAAATAATTTATTAGTCTAATTATTAAATATTTTCTACCACATTACACACACAAATAAAAATTTGTTAGAAGTTCTCTACTCTTTCTGAATTCTTCATTCATCTCATTCTCCTTGACCAATCCTAACTTGAGTAAGTAAGAAAAATAAAGGATGTTGGGCACAAAACAGACAACCCTATCCAATGATATGAATAAGTCATAGAAACAGGTGAACTCTACTTCTTTTGCCCCATGGATCACCAGATCTTAAAGGATAACTCATTGAATGAAGATAATGATGTAGGTTTGTACAGGGATTTACTGTGGAATAAACTTAATGTAGAGCTTTTATTATTGTCTGCTGACACATTCTGCCTGCAGCTTTAAGACATTGTCTCTATCTCTGTACCAGGGAAATCAACAATGGGGTCTACAAATGTGGCTTTGCTAAATCACAAGAGGCTTATGATGAAGCAGTGGCTGGACTCTTCATTGCTCTAGATAAGGTGGGATTCCTTTCACATCAGCTGGTGTTTACATGTGTAACCCGCAGTCCCCACCCTACATGACCAGCTCCGCCCCCTACCAGACATGACCAGCTCTGCCCCCTACTAGACATGACCAGCTCTGCCCCCTACTAGACATGACCAGCTCTGCCCCCTACTAGACATGACCAGCTCCGCCCCCTACCAGACCTGACCAGCCCTGCCCCCCCTACTAGACATGACCAGCTCCGCCCCTACCAGACATGACCAGCTGACCAGCTCTATAAACATGTACTAGTTACACTCTGTAAAGGGTATCTTTAGTTTTTAAATCTGTGGACTTCAGTTATTTGGTGCACTATTACTATGATATAACTAAACAAACCTGCTATTTCTACTTAGAAATCTAAAATAAATGAATAATTGTCGTTCATTATCTATGAAACCTTCCTTATACTAAAACAGTGCTTTATCATGATATTTGTTTAATTAATTTAACTACGTTAATAATCATTTAATAAACAAGAATGATTTAACTATTTACAATACAATAAGAACTAATTATTACGTACTTACATCATAAGCTACTTTATTCATTCATGCCCATAACACTTAGGGTAGATCAAGTAGAGCTCTTCTGTTTTAATGACCTCAGAATACTAGGGGATAGTGTGGTCATCACTATGCCAGTTGCCTTAATTTTCTAATATGAATCAGTTACCCATCAGAGCTGGGTGGGCTCAGGGACGTCCGATATAATCAAGCCCGGGTTTCAAACTTCAGATTTTAGGGTTAGTAGGTGCAAGCACTACCTTTAGACCACAAAGTCCTTTATTTTATTTAGAAAAAGACGTAAATTGTTAGTATTATTTTTCAGGTAGAAGACTTGCTGTCCCACACAAGATATTTAACTGGACCAGATTTGACAGAGGCAGACATCAGACTTTTCACAACTTTGATCAGATTTGACACGGTCTACCATACTCACTTCAAGGTTTGATTTTTACATTTCCATCCCTGATGTTTTCAATCGGTCAAAACACGTAAACCACATATGCTTTAATGGTAACCTAATTTATATGTTAAACTTTGAAATTCATTTTTAAAATTTGTATTAAAATCCTCTCTACTAAAATTTTGATTGATATATGGGAGGATAATTTGAAAATGAGTTAGCCTAACCTTGCTATAATTTGTGTCTAAGTTAGCTTAACTTTGCTATGATCTGTGTGTGAGTTTGCCCAACTTAGTGCTGATCTGTGAGTGACTTTGCTATGATCTGTGTGTGAGTGAACCTAACTTTGCTATGATCTAAGTGTGAGTGAACCTAACTTTGCTATGATCTGTGTGTGAGTTAGACTAACCTTGCTATGATCTATGTGTGAGTGAACCTAACTTTGCTATGATCTATGTTTTAGTGAATCTAATCTTGCTATGATCTATGTGTGAGTGAACCTAACCTTGCTATGATCTATGTGTGAGTGAACCTAACCTTGCTATGATCTGTGTGTGAGTGAACCTAACCTTGCTATGATCTGTGAACCTAACTTAGCTATGATCTGTGTGTTAATTTAACTTTGCTATGATGTGTGTGTGAGTTTTCCTAACTTTGCTATGATCTGTGTGTGGGTTAGCCTAACTTTGCTATGATCTATGTGTGAGTGAACCTAACTTAGCTATGATCTGTGAGTGAGTCAGCCTAACTTAGCTATGATCTATGTGTGAGTGAACCTAACTTAGCTATGATCTATGTGTGAGTGAACCTAACCTTGCTATGATCTGTGTGTGAGTGAACCTAACCTTGCTATGATCTGTGTGTGAGTGAACCTAACCTTGCTATGATCTGTGTGTTAATTTAACCTTGCTATGATCTCTACCAGACCAACAAGAAAAGAATTGTGGACTATCCAAACCTGTGGGGTTTTGTCAGGGACATCTACCAGCTGCCTGGGGTCGCCGATACAGTGGACCAAGAACACATCATGAAACATTACTTTGTGAGTTCACATTTTCTCTCTTCTAGCCTTAACTGTGAGGTGTTTAAGTTTGTTACTTAAGTATTCTAATTTTAGGCACATTTACTTTTACCACTACAGGGGAGAACATCTTGAGTGTGTTAACTACATATCAAGTTATTTTTAGCTTTGTCTGTTATAGGGCCTACTTTTGTTTCGCCATTTGAGTTTTTTTTTATTTTTACTCTTTTTAATCCTTGCATAGTACAGTTAATTTGGGTTTATTAATTTGGGTTTGAAATTGAAATATATGTTTTTAGCAATTTTTTTTCTCTTAGGAAATGAAAGTATGCCAGTTTTCTCACTAAATGTATGGATTAGATTATAATTAGAACAAATATCTCCATTTGGTAAATTATTTTATGCACAATGTACCTGTTATTGAGTGACTGCTTAATGTGGTTCTGCTGTATAAAAGAGTTCTGGTTTTATTTTTCACAAGAATTTCAACAAAACTACATCAATAATCAATAATAAATTGAAACAGCTTAAAAATGGCCACTCGAGAGATATCAAGACCTTGGTGTACATTAAAAACTAAAATTTGGCAAAAAAAATAAAGTAAATAGACAAATAATTATCCAAAATTGAAAATGTCATTACTGTACCTGTACGCTTGTGGATTAAACAAAGTCAGCATTGTTTTTGCATTTCAGTATTGCATCCAAACATTAAAACTTTTCATTTAAAAACAATTAATTTTTGTTAAACTTGTATGAATTTTTGTATGCACACCAGTATACATTTAAAATGTCTCCCTAAACTTCCTGTGGCTATTTTCAGGCAAGTCATCTGACCATCAACCCTACTGGTATTGTACCTGTAGGACCTGAGCTAGACTTGATGTCACCCCATCACAGGGAGAAAATGTAGCTGTCAGATAGTTGATGTTCATTCAGCTTAAAGAACCACAATGTGTTATTCGTTATACAATTAATATTCAATTTAATAATTCAGAGTGTAAAAATAGTTATTTAAAAAAAACCACCATTGTTTGAGATATTCATTAGAACTAACAAAAAACAACAACCATGTTGATAGGCATAATTTTTATTGCAAATGTATGGTTTCAGTCTAATTTTTCACTGATTGTTCACTGATTCAAGTTTATACAGCTTATGTATTCGCTTTGAATTTCAATCGAATATCTCACTTATATTGATTTCATAACACTTCAATTGGTTGTGCTAATATTTTACTAGTAAAAATTTAATTTATTGTACTATGTAACCACTAAATATATAATTTTGCACCCCTAGCTATTTTTATATAAAACTGAAAATATTTACCAAGCTTATTTAGGATTTTAACTATATTTATTTTTTTAATGCAAGCCTGTATGATTTAAAATATATTTTGGTCGGTTTTAAAATGAATTTATTGTAATTTTAAAGTAGCAAATATATAAATGGTCATCTCATATCAGTTGTCTCTATCAGAGCTGACCTTTCATGTGTGGTCTCTAGACAAGATCACATTCTTATTTACAAAAACAAATGAGTCTTTTTGAGTCAGCAGCTTTCCGAAAGTTGTCAGGTGCATTATTCAAACTTTAACATCATGTTTTTAAAAAGAATTAATCAGTTTTTTCACATCCTGTTACATCAACTTTTCAAAGTTCTTTCAGGTGGGTTGTTTTTTCAAAGCAAACCAAGTCAGTTATTGACAAGAGCTATTGACAGTTTTTCATTTAAAGATCAGTAATAAACCTGAGTTGATTGTAAACAGCAATAGCTTATAATCTTTTTATTCGGCATTCAATTTAAGGATAATTAGCATAATTAATTAGGATTATAGAGATCAAATTCAACTTGTATGTATATTTGTCTGGTATTTAGTAATGAATTCACTTACCTTTGTGCCTTTTAACTTACACATTTTCAAAATAAAAAGTTGCATTCCAAGGGAGATAATTTAAAAAAAAAATGTATTTAATTTTCTACACCACTGTTCAAACAATAGAGCTCCACAGCAGAGTTGAAGGGTCAAGTACTTCATTGTATGGCATTACTCATCTCAGGTTATTTACATTTTTATAGTGATCCATTTATTTTATACAGGTTAATACCACTTTTTCCTCCTATTATTTCTTATCTCATTACATGTGTATTCAATTGCTGCTATTCTCATCTTAGCATTTATATTCAATCTTTGTTCCAACCTTTCCATTTATACTTAATTCATCAAAGCATTTATAATCAATTTTCTATTCACATGTTTCCTTTTATTATTTTTATACTTAGATTATAGCATTTATATACAATGTCATTCTCATCTTTTTATACACTTTTTATATTTGCTGTCACTTCTTTTCATTAGATCTACAATTTTTATGTAGATGATTTGCTTATTTCAGAATAGCAGTGTTTTTTTTTATGTAATATTTTTGAAAGGCTAATAAATAAATTATGTATCATCATTAAACCTTTTGTTGCATCACTGTTTTTCTAGTCAAGGTAAAAACATAGCAATTATAGCCAGGGCTCGTGCAGATATGATATATAATTATACAAGAACCACTTTACACAATTATAGTAACTGGGAGCATTACTGCATGACTATTAACATAATTCAGGTCTCTGTGGTTTTATAAGCCAACCTAAAAATTGTAAAATTCACTTGTGTTGGTATAAAAAGCAAACAGAAACTAAACGTATACTATTTCTATCCAAGTGTTTTGTTAAGTAGGTTCTGTATGGAGTGCTAGAAGGAAACTGTTGAAAGGTTTTGGTGTTTGGAATGAAGAAACAGTCACCAAATGTGACCTCAGCATATGAAGGGATTGTGTGCCCAGCCACCTTTACTTCCCTAATGTAAGTTAGGTACCCATCAGAGTTGGGTGGACACAGGGATGCGCTTTGACTCTAGCCAGGGATCCGAACTTTCGGGTTAGCAGTTGAGCACTTTATTGTTCAACCATGCTGTCCCATATTGCTAGGTAAAACACTTTAAATACAATTTTTCAACACTCCTAAAAAACATTTAAGAAAATTTTAGCTAAACACAACCGTAAGTTACAATACAAAACCTTAAAAGTGAAAATATTGTAATTTATTCATTAAAAATGAAATCACAATGATAAAATGAACAATGCAATTTAGCTGCTAGCTATGGTAATGATGAGTATAGGAATAGAGAAGAAATAAAATTGTAGAAACAATTTTGAATGAGTCTAGAAAGTATGGGCATGTACATCATTTCATTATCCAATGGGCTGTATCTGGTAATAAATAATTGCATTAGTTGTTGGGTTGTGCAATATTTACAGTCCTACTTGTATTCAAAACAAACTTTTCTAGAACTCAAAAGACCAAAACAAGTAGTTCACATCACTAACAGCTTCTCCTTTTGTTTTTGTTTGGTGATACTAATACATCTTACTGATAGCTCGAATTTATATGGTGACATTGTTACATTTTACAGATAGCTCAAATTTTTATGTGGTGACATTGTTACATGTTGCTGATAGCTTGAGCTCTTCTTCACACATTTTCAAATTTACCCATGGTTTAAATTTGTTAGTCTCATTTACCATCAACTTTGGAATGCATTCAAGCGCTACACAAAACATTACTAGTAGTATTTCTTTTCCTAAATAAACAAATATAAAACTTTACAAATTAATAAAGTTGAAAAATGTATTTCTTAGTTAAAAATTAAAAATTAAACAAGTAAGATCCCATCAAAATATTTAAAATTCCATTACAATATTCAATATCTTATTACAATGTTTAATATCCCATTAAAGTAATTAAGATCCTATTAAATATTTAATAACCTATTAAAATACTTAAAATCCCATTAAAAGATTTAAAATCCAATAAAAATATTCAATAACTTATTGTAATTTTTAATATCCCATTAAGGTCCTATTAAAATATTTAAGATCCTATTGAAATATTTAATAACCTATTAATATATTTAAGATCTTTTTAAAATATTTAACATTTTTTTTTAAAAATGTTGATTTACTTTAGCCTTTAGCCATTTTACGTTCAAACTTTTCTTACTTTTGGATTACCTGCAGTACAATATTTCAAGCAATTTTGGATAAGTTACTAAAATTATGTGTAAATTTACCTCTGGATGCAATGGTTGGGCTAATGATTTTTTAAACCCTGAATATTAATTAATTTAAAAAAAGATCATAAATAAATAAAAAATAAAAATATTAATCAACTTTATACAACTGAGGGGTATTTTTTTTAGTTTGGAGCATAACAAAAACCACATTTCATTTTTACTGATCGGACATGTTCAATAGTTTTGAATGAGGATATAAAAAAAAAAGAATGTATGACATTGCCCAGATCACTAACCTTTATGCAGTTAGATATGCAAACAGTAATTTAAAATAAGCCTTAAATATTTGTAATTAAAAGATGATTTTCTCAAAATAAATGTAAAATACATATTCTATTTGCTTTTTAAAATGTCTAATTACTCATTTTAAAAAACAAAAGCACTCTGTGAAATATTTCTATTCTGTTGTGCTGACACCTGCTTGGTTTAACCACACATGGTACAGGTTACATAAATCACATGATGAATAGCTATGCAGACTGAAGTAGAATACAGTGTCTTTTCCTTTACTAATCTTAACAGATTGATATCATTTTTGTTTTTCCTATGAAGTTTAATGTCTGTTTTAAATGTTAAACATATATATATATGGCACATTATATAGACACCTGATTTAATGGTAAAAGACAGACAACCCTCAGTTAATGGGCTGTCTTCAGGCTGCAGTATCAGCCTGTCTGCTTGCAGTGTGAACAACCTGTCATACTGCAGTAACAACCTGACTGCCTGCATTGTCCTGCTGCAGTAACAACCTGACTGCCTGCAGTAAAAACCTGATTGCCTGCAGTAACAACCTGACTGCCTGCAGTATCCTGCTGCTGTAACAACCTGTCTGCCTGCAGTGTCAGACTGCAGTAACAACCTGACTGCCTGCAGTGTCCTGCTGCAGTAACAACCTGACTGCCTGCAGTGTCCTGCTGCAGTAACAACCTGACTGCCTGCAGTGTCCTGCTGCAGTAACAACCTGACTGCCTGCAGTATCCTGCTGCTGTAAAAACCTGTCTGCCTGCAGTGTCAGACTGCAGTAACAACCTGACTGCCTGCAGTGTCCTGCTGCAGTAACAACCTGACTGCCTGCAGTATCCTGCTGCAGTAACAACCTGACTGCCTGCAGTGTCCTGCTGCAGTAACAACCTGACTGCCTGCAGTATCCTGCTGCTGTAACAACCTGTCTGCCTGCAGTGTCAGACTGCAGTAACAACCTGACTGCCTGCAGTGTCCTGCTGCAGTAACAACCTGACTGCCTGCAGTATCCTGCTGCAGTAACAACCTGACTGCCTGCAGTGTCCTGCTGCAGTAACAACCTGACTGCCTGACTGCCTGCAGTGTCCTGCTGCAGTAACAACCTGACTGCCTGACTGCCTGCAGTGTCCTGCTGCAGTAACAACCTGACTGCCTGCAGTGTCCTGCTGCAGTAACAACCTGACTGCCTGTGTGCCTGCAGTGTCTTGTTGCAGTAACATAGCCTGCATTCCATACTTTAAACAAGACATACAGGTTTGTAAATCTAATCAATGTTTAAACCAGCTATACACTAATAGCCCAATAAGTAGAATATGACAGCTATAAAAAAAACCACAATTGGGTTAATCATACTAAATTTAGTCCCTGGTATCAGCATAGAAACATGTTATACCTGCTCACCCAACAGTAACCCTATAGTGTGATACAACAAAATCAACAGCCTACAGTTACAACTTAAGTCTTACCACATAATGAAGTATCATGTTAAGACACATTTTCAAATTGATAAATATTTAGAGTCAATTTCTGTGAACTGTGTCATATTGCTGCAGCCTGTGTATGTGTGTCTACACACCTGATCTGTGTAGTATGAGAATCAACACACATATGTTGACCCAGCAGCATCACTAACACGATAGGCTACACAGTTATCAAAGGATATCAGATTTACCCAACAACATTCAGAGTTCAATTTCCAATAGACCATCCGCAAAAAATAGTATTAACAAACTTTAAAAATGTGTCGTACCAATTCTTAAATCATCAACCATTCTCTCATGAAAACAATGTAAAATGACATATTGGAAACATGTATAACAGGTATTTTGAAGGGTTATTTTACAAAAATGCCTAATTTAGATTAACGACTTAAGAATTTACAAGCTGAAGGTTTTGATGTATTATTCTTGTAGTTAATGAATAAATAATGGTAGACTCTAAAGGAGACAGATCATAATGTAATCAAATACCTACTCATATATTAAATAATGTTTTAGGCAAATGGTAAAAAATATAAGTGTGCATATGAACGGATTATAATTACATACTATTTGTTCTGATTATATATTTGCACTTTTCTTTTGTAAAACAAAAATTAAATATCATTCATTTTCAGTATTATAAAATTCCACAACATTTTTTTCAACTATTCTCTTAATGATTTTTTTTTAATGTCTCTTTTTGTTTGAAATATTACAGCCTATTAATGAAATTACACATGCCCATTTTATTACCAAAAATACAAAGCAATATTTAAGCATCAAATTTGTTAGTATATTTTTACAGCAATTTCCCTGTAAAATAGTAAAGTTTAAGCTTGAAAAAACAATCTTAACAAATATCATATTTAAAAACTTATTTAGAAATATAAATTTAATAACATGAATGATGAAAATATTTGTTCCAAGCTATTTCGTTTGTCCAGATAATTCAAAATTAATTCTCAAGATATTAGTTACAGTTGACAAATTAAAATGTTTTTTCTTAGTATTGCATATTCTTTAACTATCATAAATTATACATTTACATTTAATGACGCTAAGAGTGCAATGAAATATTTTAGTTATTAAAAAAATGAGCCAGGAACAGAAACTTTTGAATACACTTTGCAATGGCTAAAATCAATTCCTAGTTTTTCTTGATGTAACAATAAGTTAACTGGTGACACAGATACCCAAATATAACACAAAAATTCAGTCTTTTAAATGTTCAGCATTCATTACACGTTTGTATAGAGTGCAGTTTTTATTTTCAAATTCCAATAGGAATTAATGTTTTCATCACAGTGTGTGTGATATTTTTTATTCTACCTTGATACAAATCAACACATTTAAGTAATTCAAATACATATATTGGACAGTAGTGTGGTTAACTTGATTTCACAACTTTAAAGATGATTTTCATGTATATTAAAAGTATCATTTATACATTTAAAATAAAGTGGTTTAAAGGGAAGGAACTGATGGTATTTTGTTTCACTATGGCCTAGCACTCTTGTGAACATAACGGTAGTCATGTGATGGTGGTGGCAGTGGCGTAGCGAGGTTGGGTGTCACCCGGTGCGGCACTTAAGGGTGTCATCCCCCCAGAGGCGTAGCAACCCTTCCCGGGGACAAACTTTCAAAATTTTCGATTTGCACCACCCCTCAAACTTTCGATTTGCCCCCCCCCCCCCCCCCCCCCCTCAAGTTTTTCTCTATATATTTTGCTATTTTTTTGCCTTGGTGTCACCCCCCTAAATGGTGTCATCCGGTGCGGTCCGCCCCCCCCCCCCCCTCGCTACGCCCCTGGGTGGTGGTGATAAACATCTACAGACTGAAGAAAGTAAACAATTTAGGGCTAGTTTTAATCTTTTTCATAGAAAAGCATTTTTACATTGAGTGTGCTATATTAATTTTATACAATTTGATTTAAAGTTATTCAAAGATCCAAATAGTGGATCCCAAACTATCCCTACGTGGACCTGACTAGTGGATCCCAAATTATCCCTACGTGGCCCTGACCTTAGTGGATCCCAAACTATCCCAATGAGGCACTATAGCCTTAGAGTAGCCTACCTTAGGGGTTCAAAAGGAGGCATAAAACTACTTTTACATTTTGTTCCACATCCTTTGTGTCATGATAGCAGTAAAGAAAAAACATTAGAGCTCTTCTCTCTACACAAGCAGCTTCTATATCTATTTAGTTTTAGCTCATAGCTTCTACAACCTACAGGTTGAGAACCTCTGTTCTAGATGAAAAATCTAATACATTTAACATCTACCGGGATTCATCAATCAATTTTTGTTTCAATTTAGAAAACTGCCCAGGCTATTTACAAAATAAAATAAAAAAGATAAAATATTTTAACTCTCAACTTAGCATAGTTTCATTCTTTCAGCTCACTTGCAAGGCTTAAAATCTCTCAATAATAGTAGAACAGCCTGGACAGAGGTCTAAACAAAAGCACAATAAAATAAAATCTTTTGTTCCACAAATCATTTTCAACATGAAACAACAAAGTCTCAGTGTGAAGAACAAGGTTAGTATTTACCAGGGTTTTAGGCGTACATTTATTTACAGTTTCAGTTTGACATACACAAAAAGTTGGGGTAGAATCAATCACCCCAACTTGATTTGAGGACATTTCTTTCGATTCATGTGTGCATCTTCAGAAAAATTATTTAATTAATTAATTTAATAATTAACAAATATCACAATTGCAGTAATTTGTCATTCATTAATACATACTAATAAATAATTTTAGCAGTATAAAAATCGTGATTGCAGGAAAAAAATATTTTTAAAGTGCAGACATTTCTGAACATTCATGATATAAATATCATACTTAAAATTGAGATTAATTAATTACTATAATAATGATATCTGTTGAATCCAACACAACGATAAACAGGCCAGAATGAGGGAGGTAACCGGCATTGTGTGAGAGTAGCCTGCCCTGTCGCTATTGCCAACCGTTCTCTTCTGTTCAGGGTCCGGATTGCCTGGCTCTTCCACTTCTTCAGCTAAAAAATGAAAAAAACAGGGCTTTTTTTTTTTTAAACGCTTAAAAATTATTTTATTAAAAATAAGACTAACAGTCCCACTCCAGTTAAGGTTTGACTGGCTCAAAGAGCGTGCTACGATCACGTTTTTGTTAGTTATTTAGTTGAAGTAGTCCTACTCAGACTCAGAATCTTACGGGGTTCTTGTGGATTAAGATTGTAGAGAATAAAAAGTAAGTCAAATTAGTTTTTTTTTCGTCGTTAACATTTATATTCTACAATTAAACCACAGTCAGACAGGATCGTGAGACGCTAATGGACAGGATTTGGGAACTAAATCTTTAGCAAGCCTGAACATTGGAAGTGGGACGGCTTTTTGGTTTGTATGTGTTTTTGTCGATACCTTAGTCTACTTTTATTTACATATTTAAGTAAAAAAAATGTATGGTATATTAAAATAATATAGGCATATAGTAAATATAGCTACACCTTAGATCGTCACAGAAAGATATTTAAATAACTTTTTTTTCTCAAATATTTTGCGTTACAAAATTATTGTAACTTTTAGCCATCCAATAACATGAGGTGAAAAAAAAATCTGGCAAACTCCTGTTTGCAAAAAAGAAGATATCGATACGAAATAAAGACTGTTATCTTTCTAAATTCCCTTAGATGACTGTAGCCTTGCCAATGGCGTTTTTACATCGATAACCTTTTTTAGCAGTAGACAAATTATAACTCAATACCAGCTCTGATATTTGACAAAGCATTGCAAGGCCACCTCCCCCCACCCCTCGCCCAACCCCACGGGCAATTACAAACCCGTATCTTTGATCTCCGCCTCAGACAATATGACAATCGAAAATAATTGCAGCTTTTATCTTCTTCTCCGGGTCTTGTTGTTTTAAGTATAGAGCTCGCAAGGAAGGGGTTGGATATATTAGACTACGCGACATTTGAACATACAGAAATATATGTGTTAGGATTATGAATTCTTATGCTGTTTAAATTCGTGAAAATTAGTTTAAAATATAAGACTTCTTGCTACGTATTAAAAAAAGCCAAAAAAAAAAAAAAAGAAATTAAATGCCATTCTTTATATTAAACCCAATAAGTTAATTCAAAATACGAGATCTGAGCACATAGGTAAGGAGAAGGTTCAACAAAAAAACAGACGCAGATGCCTACCTTTGAACTGGTAATGGGCGAGGAATCCTGTTGAATCGTATATTTCGTTGGACTTGAAAATGACCCTAAAAAATGGACCATCTGACCAGATTTCTCTAGTATCACCAGAGTTGGTGCCACAGAAACGGGTCATTTTTCGGTCTTCTGACTCGGCAAAATTGGAGAAAGACACGTAGTCACTTTCTGTGCTTTCTTCACATCTGTGGAAAAAAACACTTAATGTGTAAATCTGCTACAAGTAGATATCCGTGTCATGTTGTGTTTGTGTGTGTTGACCTGTGTATATTGTTTTATAGTTTGAAACTACTATATCGGCAAGTTCAACCGTATTAGGTCTACCTTATGTTCGCTTGTGAGTGAATGGGTGCAATTTAACAACTTTTTAAAATTGGAGGTAAAGTTAGGGCCTGACTCAAGTAATGTTTTTATACGAACAGTCCCAGCAATTTTCCCGCTGTTTTATATTTATTTTATTACAATTAGGCCTTTTTTATCAATCTAACGTTATGCTAAAGTTATTTACTGAGTTTTTTTTTTTACATTGTCAACATTGTCCACAAAACGTAGCCCTTGAATCTGTAATGACCTTATAGTACTATTTTGGAAAACGCGCTGTTACGAGATATATAGCTTGGCAATGCTAATTCCTATAACGAGTTTCTTTACGGCATAGAATCTGGTCGCAGACAAACAAGCGCTCCCCACTAAATGACTTGAAATCTTCTTGAAGCCCAGATGTTTATAGCCTATTAAATAGTAAACAGTTTTTCTATTGTGTGTGTAGATCAAAGTAAAGCGGGATGTTGAAAGCCACACTCCATTGTGTTTGAAGAAAGTTGTTTTTTGATCTACAATAAAATACTCAACATAATGTCAGAACTATGAGAATGATACATTTCTTTTTTAAATTGTTGGGTATTCCCATTTCATTTACTTTAATAATTAAGTTACACTTTTAAAAAAAGTGCTTATGAAACAAAATTGAATATTGACTAGTGACATTAGTAATTTTTATTTGTCGTTCGGTTGGTGCATGTTTCTTTTATTATTATACTTATTTATACACGAACAGTTTCAATTTAGTTAAATTAAATTAAAAATCCATTCTATTTTCCACTTGAATTTTCTTCATCGATGAATTGTTCACATCAATACGTATAAATTTCATGAAGATTTTCGTTTCCATCCAATGATCAAATACCCGTGCATGAGCATTAATGTTGTGTACTCACCTAGGGGTCATCCCGTCCACGTCGAACTCCACGAAGACGATGTGCACTCTCTCGTTTCCTCTGCCGTAGAAGAGGTAGTGGCACTCAGTGTTCCGGGGGTAGAGGCCGTTATAGTTGGGTGACATGATCTCCCCGCTCTGCTTGACTGAACTTTGGTAGTTGAAGGAGCAGGCTGAAAGCGAGAAGGTCATTGGTATTGGTAATTGAATGGACAGGCTAGTCTGATGATGTTTGTATGGGTAGTTGATGGAGTAAGCTGGAAGAGAGAAGATAATATGTATTGGTAATTGAATGTGCAGGCTAGTATGAGGACATTTGTATTGGTAGTTGAAGGAGCAGGCTGAAAGCGAGAAGGTCGTATGTTTTGGTAATTGAATGTGCAGGCTAGTATGAGGATTTTTGTATTGGTAGTTGATGAAGTAAGCTGGAAAAGCACTACCGAATAACACACAATCTAGGGGAGATCCCTGCTTTTGAAAAAGGGTTTGCTCGTTTTTCCTTGTGATATAATTGGGTTAGGTATTACATGTTCTATTTTGCCAAAACTATGCTGTATGTTAAACTAAAATAGCCAACAACAGGTAAGACAAAAAGATATACAAATCGCAGTTGCTACAAAGCACAATTTACCATGGAATATTTTATCACAGACGTATCTCATTGTATAAATTATCAAGGAACAAATAATCACAGATCAACGTAAAAGAATTAACACAGCGCATTAAGTTATAGATATTGAAGTTTCATCATGGAGTTGTCCAACAGCTCATGACCCCGACATTAACATAAAAGGTTATTCACCAAGTGCCTTACACCGTCATGGGGATAAATCTGGAACTCCCAGAGGCAGCCTGACACCAGGCGTAACGAATAATTTCTGGAAGGTTCTGTTCATACCAGTACAACAAAGGCTATTTCACATCAAGATGTACAACACCTCTGTATACATCATAGCGTTAGACTAGACCGATTGGGTGACCTCCCCTCTCTTTTCACTGAATCATCGTGGCTTCTGTCGTCATTGTACGATACGATGAGAAACCAACTGAATGCAGACCAGGATGTGGTTATAGAAAAGGTTCAACGGACTCGCTAATGAGTCGGTTAGTTGGGGTAATTATTTCTCAAACTCAGAGGGTCTGAGAGAAACGGAAGCGGTTTTGGTGAGTGAGGCGACACACGACACGCACACCGGGGACGATACAGGGACCGTGGTTAGACGACAAGTCTCACATCGGGTTCACCACGCACGTCTTTGGTTACCTCGACAACGATTGTATATATATATATATATATATATATATATATATATATATATATATATATATATATATATATATATATATATATATATATATATATATACACGTGTGTGTGATTATAGATATATTGGTCACACATAATTGAACTGTATTCTACCAACGGCACTGGGATAAGCTGTATCCCTTAGAGCGTGCTCATACATCGGTATCGTTGCTAAAAATCAATACTTGTAATGGCACCATCTTATTATTATTTTTTTCCTGTTTTTTTTAGTTATACCCCCCCCCCCCCCCCTGCTTCCATAGATTTATAATTGTACTTACTCCCCCTATTATCCTGCTGTCCCTCTAGTATGCCAAAATCTGTAGAAAAAATAGTGGTTACAAAATTTTATAAAGTTTAAAAATTAGTTTTAAATTGATGTGAGCGTACGCTAAAATTCATTATCTACATTGATCTATACTACAATAACATATATGAATTACTAAATTACATGTATTATAAACATCATATTAATATCCCTAAATTCCTATAAATATAACCTCAGTCCTACCCCTCGAACCTTAGTTCTAATTCTAATTCTAATAACTTGTTACTAGCCCTAAAACCCCAACAATAACCCTAAAATCCCAGTCGTAATTGTCAAGCCCAAATCTTAAATCTCAAAACATAACTCTTATAACTTGTCATAGACCCTAAAGCTTTCTGTCCTTCAAGCCTGAACCCTAACCCTCTTAGGCCTAACCTTGACAACATGTCCCTAGCTCTAAAATATCAGTTCTAGGCCTCACACTTCAGCCCTAACCCTAACAACTCGCCCCCCCCCCCCCCACCTTCCACCTTCAGCCTTAACCCTACAACCCCCTCCCCCACCCTCACAGGTAAGACGTACTGCTGACGAAGCTGTACTGTGCCAGAAACACAGTGACAGTCTTCTCCGAGCTGGTGCTCTAACCCTACCAACTCGCCCCCCCCCCCACCCTCAGCCCCCACCCATCCCCACCCCACAGGTAAGACGTACTGCTGACGAAGCTGTACTGTGCCAGAAACACAGTGACAGTCTTCTCCGAGCTGGTGCTCTAACCCTACCAACTCGCCCCCCACCCTCAGCCCCCCTCCCCCCCCCCACCCCCACAGGTAAGACGTACTGCTGACGAAGCTGTACTGTGCCAGAAACACAGTGACAGTCTTCTGCGAGCTGGTGCTCTAACCCTACCAACTCGCCCCCCTCAGCCCTACCCCCCCCCCCCCCCACAGGTAAGACGTACTGCTGACGAAGCTGTACTGTGCCAGAAAGCCAGTGACAGTCTTCTCTGAGCTGGTACTTCTGAACTCCACGATCATGCTGTGTTGGCTGGACATCAACATGGGCGGCAACTTGCGGCCACACCAGGTGTTGAGTTTCTCCTTCTGACCGTTGATCATCACGTACACGGTCACGGCGTCGTCAGAGGTCGTACACCTGTGGGCGACACAATGTCAAGTTTTTAACATTCTATATGGGCAACAAAATGTCAAGTTTTTAACATTCTATGTGGGCAACACAATGTCAAGTTTTTAAAATTCTATGTGGGCAACACAATGTCAAGTTTTAAAATTTCTATGTGGGCAACACAATGTTTTTAACATTCTATATTGTCAAACAGGATATCAAGTTTTAAACCTCTAATCTCGGCAAACACGGCGTAAAATTTTAAAACAATTTGAGGTAGAATATTAAAATACAGGGTTACACTGTAACATAATTTCTAGTTAATCAGATAAAGCACATTTTACGACATGGTCTAGATTAGACAGATATAATATTTGATATGGTATTTTCTCATTTTTTTTCACGAAATTAATAAAAAATAAACCGGGAGTGATCTCCCCTAAACTTTCTCGAATATTCTTATATAAAATAACAGGGGATGGGAACTCGGGCTATAGACATGATGTTTAATCCATTTTAAATACTTAAAGTTTTAAAAATAGAATAAAATCTCGTAGACAAATTAATTGCACACCAAGTGAACGCCAAATAAAAAAGCGCATAATAGTGCGCAATATTATTAGTACTTTTAAAATTTACATTAGTTTTTTGAGAAATCGGAAGTAGCGTAAAGTACTACTTCCAGTCAACGGAAATTACTCAAAATTTAATAGAAGGTAGAGAATTAGATATTTTACTTACATGTGAAATTTCATTTATCTATCTGAAATAGTACTCAAGTTATAGGCTTTTGAAAAATTCAAAGTAGGAAAAGTACCACTTCCGGTTATCGGAAATCGCTCAAAAGTTGATACGGATCTACGATTTTGATAAAATACTTATATATGAAATTTCATCCACCTAGCTGTAACGGTACTCAAGTTATCGTGTTTACACACGGACAGACACACAGACACACACACACACACAGACATACGGACAAGATTGCAAAATTATGTTTTTCCGTATCAGTGAAGTGTAAAACGTCGAGATTTGTAAAAATCTCGATTTTTTTTTGCACGATTACAATACTTTCTCTATACTTCGTATATACGAGAAAGTAATAATGCTTTGGTATAACGCGATCAGTAAGATAACAATGCAGATATGTTACATGAAACGATGTTGATATATATATATATATATATATATATATATATATATATATATATATATATATATATATATATATATATATATGGGTGTGTCTGTCTGTGTTTGTGTTTGTGTGTGCGTGTATTAAAAAAACGTTTTGGTTTATTTCAAACAAAATGTGTCCAGATTCTAGAAACTCCGACTGCAAGTCATTAGCGATCATTTTTCTCCTCCAGCGTGTATTGAAGTGGGAGCCCAGGTACCAGAGAGCAATGTTACTGTGATAAATCGCTCTGGGACAGTCAGACAGACGGGGCACCGGTAAGCTTGCAGAGACTGGAAGTTATAAATAGACTCCATTTAATGGTGTTGCCGTATTTGGCGACGGTGCATCACTTGCAATAGTGTCTAGAGCTTTTAGAAAACTCGTCGACGTTAGCTGAGTTTTCAAAACAACAGCCTGGTGACGGCAGCGCTCTAAAGCATAGTGACGTCAGCGCCATAGTGACGTCAGCGCCCTACAGCCTAGTGACGTCAGTGCCCTACAGCCTAGTGACGTTAGCGTTCGTGCAGCGCCTAAGGGTTATTATGCTACTATAATGAATGAAGTGCAGGAGAAACAAAGGTAAACAAGAACAGTTTACATTCTATTTGAATGTTGTTAACGTTTACACATTTTGATAGTAAAAGTTTGCATTCTATTTGAATTTTGTAAACGCTTACACATTTTGATCGGAACATTTGAATTTTGTAAACGCTTACACATTTTGATCGGAACATTTGAATTTTGTAAACGCTTACACATTTTGATAGGAACATTTGCATTTTGTAAACGCTTACACATTTTGATCGTAACATTTTAAAGTCGAACAGAACCCGCCAATCGTTTGGAATCTTTGGCCAGTCTAGGTCGAAAGTTGTACTCTGGGCAGGGGCGGGCGATCAAGTCATTGAACTATTGAACACGTCATTATCATTGACACTCGGGCGTCAAACTTGACTCAGGGGCGTCAGAGTACCAGGTCTAGGGTCTCTTAATGGCTTGTCTAAATGCAGAGTGGTGTGGGGTGTTGGGGTATAGGGTGGGGGAGGTGGGGGATGTAGGTGATGGGTGTGGGGTGGGTGTGAACATGGTGGGGCTGGTGGGTGAGGTAGAGAGTATGATTAAAATAGGAGGGGTATTTAATTAAAGGGAGAGGGGGAAGAGGATAATAGCAATTGGAAATATGTTGAGCCAGTGATTAGTCTAGAAGAAGAAAAGATCTGCAGGAAGGAGTGGACTATGATTGAACTCACTTACAGAAAAATAATTACACACATTAGAAATTATTGCGTTTTTCATGATCGACAAATGTAAATCGCATGACCAAACATGTTTTCCTAGCATGTAACAAGGAATACAGGCCATTTAGCGAACCAACCCTAGCATTGCGTTGGATGAAGTGATTTAAATAATATAATCTGACTCAAAGCTAGTGCAGGTCTAAGTCACTTGAAACTAGGGATCGACCTGACTGTCTTGAGTTATGCTTACACTTGTGGTTTGATGCTTGTAGTGATGTCTTGTCTTCTCTTGTGTAGTGATGTTTTGGGAAGATGTTTTATCTCTTAACATAAACTAACACTCCCCCCCCCCCCCACCACCTGCTGGCAGGTTTTGTTTAAACCATTTAAGACTACTCTCTTGGGTAAAATGACGAATGCAGTTTTAATTAGCAGGATGACATGTACCTAGAAGTAATTCTGATTTCAAATCAATAACTATTACATAGATATGATTCACACGATGACTCACATCAAAGCTGTTTATACGGGCATGTAAAATAGAAACAGCGAAGCATCAGTTTATTTTTGAACGTGAGGCGTGATGTTTCTAGGGCGAGCTCATCAATTTGTAAACATCAGACTCTTAAAACATGGGCTATAATTTGAGAAGAATTAACATGCAATAAGGTGTAATGACGTCAGTAAACACCAGCCAATCATTTTACGCGTCTCATGCCGGCGAGAGCGGAGACGATTTTTACGACTGCAATTACAGGAAGTGATGGGGAGGGGGAGGGTAGATCGTGATATGGCGGCGCTGTTGTTTACTGCTGTAAAAATAGATTTGCCTCCTGTATGACGTCACGCGATGAGAGCTCAAGTGAAACAAAGTTAAGCCAGGAGTAAAAAGACCCGCCTTTAAAACAAGATAATAGCTCGGCTCAAATAGAGCATGGCGAACTTGGTCCAACAGACAAACAGGACGTCGGTCTCTCTAACTAGATCTAAAATCTATAAATATCATGATTTTTTATTGGTTTTGTTGGTCCGTCTATTCCTGACTCAATATAATTAAACTATTAATGTAGTTCAAATAATTACAATGGTACTATTAAATTAAGTGCACTCAAATGTGATGTAATGAGAGTTTATTTAATTTATTTCATGTATTTTAATTTCCACGAAATTCTTACTTTGGTCACTACCTAGAAAACGTAAATATTTTTTTTATGCCAGAAGTTCGATAGGCTTTTTGGCTACATGTATCCTTACATGTATATATATATATATATATATATATATATATATATATATATATATATATATATATATATATATATATATATATATATATATACATATATATATACGTATATATATATGTATATATATATATATATATATGTATATATATATATATGTATATATATATGTATATATATATATATATATATATGTAACGAGACTATTTGCCTGTAGTGCCAAATGTTAACGAGTCTAACCACTCATTCTACACAACATCGACCACAGTATAGATACTCGAAGATGCAGGTTCACTATTGATCCTTTTATTACATGAATCAAAGAAATGCTTCACAATAATATAATGAATCAAAAGGAATGCTTCACAATAATAGTTTGAATCAACTGACCCCCAACAGTCCTCACTAGTCTTCACATTACTGAATACACATGTCTATCGTCCTGATTAACACAATACGGCTAACCCGTTCAATAACCAACTTGATACTGCCTCACTGACTGACTGATCGAGAGAGAGAGAGAGAGAGCGAGCCATCTCAGCCGTCGCCTTCCTATATATCCCCTTCGTATTCGTAATCGTATTCGGTTCTATCATAGTCATGTTCAATCCGAATATCTCGCCTTCCGATTACTACGCAGTTGTCTCATCAGTCCGATTAATATAACATCTGCACTGTTACGTCAGCCAAGTCGTGTCAAAGTTGACAGCGCTTGTCGTATCCTTCCAAACTACGCCGTGGCTTTATGATCGTTATCAGTTGGCTTATCAGTCCAACACCTGCACTATTGCGTTCTTAACAATAGTGACTAGTAACTAGGCCCACCCTAGTTACATCCACCGCCGCCTTTTTTTGTGTGTTTTCAACCACAAACAACGCTTGGTAGGTGCACTTCTTAAATGTCAATCGCACCATCGTAAAAAACATTTATTGTTCCATTCACTGTCAATGTCGTCACATTCGTAAAAGATTGACAGTTATCCCTATTTCACATATCAAATGTGTCTACATCATATTCCTCAGACACAAGGCAGTTCTAGAATTCACATCCACCTTTTTTCGTTTGGTGCCTTCACCAGTTCACTTTTATGACTTTTTGAACAGTCTGTTCTCATACCAGCGCGACCATGAAAGAATTGATGGTTGCTGACGAAAAATTTCGTATTCTTTCTGTTTCTCAAACTTCTCCGCCGACCACTTATCTGATGGTCTACTGTCTCTCTGCTTCTGGGAGGAACGGGATCCTCTTCGTTGCCGTTATCCTCCACTTGTGTATTGCTGTTGTTCTGTTGATGGTGACATGGTTCCGGGATGGGTATGTGAATTTCCGTTATAGTTTCCGGTTCCCTAATTGTCTTGGGTTTCCTT